CCAGGGGGTGAGGGGGGCCTTAAGCAGGGCCTGGGGAGGGGTCCCAGGCAGGGCCTAGTGTAGTGGTGGGGTCCCCAGGGGTGAGGGGGCTTCTAAGTAGGGCTGGGGAGGGGAATGAGGGTCCCAGGCAGAGCCTAGAGTAGCGGCTAGACCTGAGAGGGGGCCCTGTGCAGGGCCTAAGAGGAGGGAGGGGTCCCTGGGCAGGGCCTTGGGGGGGGTGTCCCCACGCAGGCCCCAGCGTTGAGGGGGGGTGCCCTCCCGGGCCCATAGGTGAGGTGGGGGTCGCCCAGCATGGCCCAGGGGCGATGCGGGATGCCCCAGCCCCCAGCAGGACCCAGCCCAGCTGCCTGTCCTGTCAGGCAAGAGCCTTCCCAGGGCCTGGGACAGCACTGGGGAAACTGGTGGGCGAGGGAGCCCCCGGCTCTCTCCCTGCTTCCTCCTGTATTGCACCCAGCGAAAGAGGCCGCCTCCGAGTTCATGCATAAAAGATCAATGGAAATGGTTGGTAACCTCCAAATATTGTTAAGCTTAATTAAGCCTTAAGGACTGTGTGAAGCGTCAGCAGGCAGAGCCGCTCGTTAGCGCGGTGACTGTGCTAGCAGTCGGTGACTGCAGCCTGAGCTCCGGGTTATGTTGGTTCTTCTAAACCGTGTCGTTGTGGCTGTTGTTACAAGCCCCGAGTCGTTCCCGGGGAGCTCCACAGGACCCCATTTTCTGCCTCCCTGTGGCAGGGAGCCCCTAGAGGCACTTCTTTTGGGGGGCAACATCCTGCCATGGGACCCATTGGCTTCAGCGTGGTCTCCCCCAACACACGTGGGGCACGTAAAGAACAGGTTCCTTTCCAAAGTGAGCGTGGTCTCCCCTTCTTGCCTAAGTGTAGCCAAAACATTGCCAAGAAGCTGAAGATGCAGTCAGGCATGTGCATTTCTCAGGTTGGCTCTGCCCCCCCTGTTCCCCTTCACCCAGCAACAGCACAGGAGAGACCTCAGTAGATTTACGGAAATAAAAGATCTGATTTAAGCACTCTCTTTCCTTGTATTTAGGGCTGCATTTGCAAGAGCAGGCAGTCCCTGCTCTTAATACCAGCCCTGTTCAACAAAGCTCTGGCATCTACCTCGGCTTAAAAACATTATGGGGTTAAAGGAGGAGAGTGAGGTTTCTCGTGATAATCTTTAATGTATTTGGGATGAGTTATGGGGCCTAAATACTCTCATAAAAAAAATCTGTTGCAGGTGTCGCCTGCTGAAGATCGATCCGCCAGCAGAAGGTGCAGTTGGAGGTTGGGAGCTGGGCATAGAGAAGGTATGATGCGATCTAGTAGTTCTATGTGTAAAGTCTTGCTTGTTTAAAAAAATAACGTATATGGATGGCAACGAAAGGACCACAATAAAGATACCCCCTTCAAGTGTAAAAATTCCCCCTTTTTTTGTGATTTTGTTGAACTTTCTGGCTGCGCTTTGGCCAGAGTTTGAGGGCACAACTCTCTCTTTCAAGCTCATTTTCAGGCATCTCAATCAACAATATCATTGTTCTCTTCCCTATTTAAGTGAACTTCTCATGAATAATGTACCGGCTGCCTGATGAATATGCACGTTGGCTGGTGTGCCTGGGAGGGCTTCATCAATAATTCATGCCTAAAAAATGTTCTTCACCTTGCAACTGTACAGGAACTGTAAAAAAAATAAATATATATATATTTACCCTTTAAAGTGGGAGAGAAGACGGCTTGAAATCTGCCCACGGAAACGTGGAGCGAGGTGGGTTGTCGTTAAGTGTGGTGAAAGTGAGCGAAGGGGAGAGCACCTCCGGGAAGGGGAAGGTGATTTCTGAGGGACTGAGCCCAGATGTCTTCACAAACCCAACCCCGCAAAGCCCCGCAGCTTGCTGGAACTGCTCAGGGTTAAGCCTGTTGAGCAGCTCCTGGCTTCAAACCCTGATTTATTCAAACAAACGTGCCTTTTTCCACTCTCCTGTTACCATTAGACAGAAAGCTTCCTTGCAAAGGAAGACTGGGAACGCTCTGTGAGGCGCGAAAGGCAAGGAGAAAGCGTTTCCATTCGGTGGAGCCGGGCTCTTCAGAAGGCACCTGCCTTCACATCCCTTGGGATTGTTTTTATTTGTATTTTTATCGCCGATTACCTCCTTTAAGGGCCTCCTGGGACTCCGAGGAAAAAAAAACAAACGTGCCTTTTTCCACTCTCCTGTTACCATTAGACAGAAAGCTTCCTTGCAAAGGAAGACTGGGAACGCTCTGTGAGGCGCGAAAGGCAAGGAGAAAGCGTTTCCATTCGGTGGAGCCGGGCTCTTCAGAAGGCACCTGCCTTCACATCCCTTGGGATTGTTTTTATTTGTATTTTTATCGCCGATTACCTCCTTTAAGGGCCTCCTGGGACTCCAAGAGGAAAAAAAAAAACCACCCTCCAGTAAACGTCAAAAGCTCTGAAAAATCGCCTCATGAGTCGTCTTGCGCCGTGCGGCCCCGAAATGGAAACCTGGAAAAGTCGAGGCAGTTTCTGGATGCCTGGCTGCGTGCCAGCGGACTTTGCTTCCCACGCCGGGCGCTTCTGAAAGGCAAAGGGAGACGGTCTGCAAAGAGCCTGGCGCGCCATCAACACGCGGAACGGATAAAAGCGTCAATGGCCGAGTCTGCGTTTTTGGGTGAGCGAAGGGCCCAGGCTGAAAGTCCTTATTTACACAACACGGGATTATTTAACCCTGATTAGAAGCAGAGCTGGCTGGGATAATACCTGTTGTTTGCTACTTAAAGTAGCAAAAATTAAATAGTAGCAAAAATAAAGCAGCAGTAAAAATTCAGCTGATACCGGTGGCCTTACGAGCAGATGCGCGTTTGTGAAACTTTACTCGTGTGAGTAATCAGAAGCGAGAGGTACTTCGAGGCAGAGAGCACCCTATGGGTGGCGGGCCGTAATTAATTACATAATGATAACGAATAAGCAGTTGTTAATTACTGGATGACATCTTCCACCTAGGGAAAATGCTCTCCTTCCTTCTCCCACCGCTGAAATCGAGGGGGTTCCGTGCTTGGCTTTGCCAGGACCGGATTTCACCCAATGCCACAAAGCGGCCTGAAAAATCCCGTGGGTATTTTACAGCCTGTTTCCAGCTTTAAGGGGAAAAGCGAGGCAGAGGCCAGATCTATTGCAGCGCCGACAAACTTGCATTAAACCCCCCTGCAGTCTTTAAAAAAACACACGCTTAAGCTCAGGTTCAAGGAAGTTTGTGAGCAACCGGAGTCGCTTTGCAGCGCGGGAGCCAAAATAAAGTCCTGGCTCGCTTTTCCTGTACTTTCAGCCATTTAAATTCTCAGAACAGCTG